TATTTAACAACCAGGTAAAAAATTACACATTTTATTGTACTAATTTTTGGGGGAACATACTTCCATGAAAACAACTTGTATTTAAATTTTATTTTCTTGAACCCCCTAAACTTCAAATAAAATCGAACTCTCTAGCACAATAAAGTTAGAAATTGTTTTTCTATATATTTTAATTCATTATGATGTTTCGGGCCTTAACACTTATATTCAGTACTTGTATGTCCTACCTTTTGTTACCATTACTTCACCGCTGCTTAACTTAAAAAGAATAACTTATTTTACATGAAACCACATGTACATTATTTTCTCTACTTATGTCAGGTAAAAAATACATATTTATCTTTGTCACAAGAATTGATTAATCTTTCAGATAGGTAAGTGAAAGCTAAAATAAAATTAGTTCTTTAACATATCTTTGCTAACACATTTACTATATAACTAATGTGAAAAATGAAGTTTTGAATATTAATTATTTTTTAAATATTAATTTACAAATGTATTTTCTCCAAATAAAGTTTAATAAAAACAAATTCAAGGCTCAGAGAAGTGAAAAGGGCTTATTTTGAATTAAAAAATGCCATGTTCCTATTTGATTTCCTGAAAAATTGCTACAAACCTATAGTTATTTAAACCTGCTGGGGATACAGATTAGTGTGGAAATCAAAATTAATTTTCTTTTTTATGGCTGACAAGACTAGATGAACTTTTTGATTTACTTCTTCCACATATGTGAGAAGTGATTAAGTCAATAGTACATATTCCACAATTTTAGTTCAACTTGAAACCTTCTAATTTTGCAGGTTTTCCAAAGTTGTTTTAGAGAGTGGGGTAGCTCAATTAGTATGACAGTATTCCAGTTCTTTTGGATCAAGGGTTCGAGTCTGACTGGTAGTTTATTATTTATTCTGCTGTGGATTGACTCTGGGGCCAGCAGTCCCTTCTGAGACACTCTCAGTCTGTATAAAGTGGGCATTTTTCAACAAAGGGAAAAATGTAGTAGTTAAGCGTGATTCCATCAAATACCCTCGCACAACCAAAAAAACAGTACTTCCTTACAAAGGCCTGAACATGAGACTCAAAGGGTTGTATTGCTAAGAATTGTTATTAAGTTATCAAAAGTAGAAATCAACATGGTTGTTAAGTGCTGGTTTTATAAAATTAAACGTTTCTGGAGGTTTCAAGATGTTCTTAGCACTTTCAAAGTTAATTTATTATCAAATTTCTAAAATTGTTGGTCCAAAAAGAGCCCTAATTTTCCTTGTTTTTGTAAATATTTTTCTTTTTTATATCATATTCATGTTAATTGTCCCTGTGTAATGATGAAATAGTAATTGTATATCACCTGTACTGTTAATTAACATTGGTTTGGTAAAATAATATTATTTCAATGTTAAGTTTTACTTATTGTATTGTATTAGTTTGAGTCATTTTCATCCTTACTTTAATCTTTGTGTACAGTTTATTGCATGACATTTCTTATTCTTGTTATTGAGTAGATAAAATTTTTTTTTTTGCTGCTTTCATCCTTCTGTTCAGTGAAACTGGATATACAAAATTAGCCTTCTAGTCTATCCCAGGGGTCTCCAAACTACGGCTCGTAATCCCCTTCTATGTGGTCCGCAAAAGTTACTTTTATTGCATGATAAAATTTTAAAAAATATTTTAAAAATGTAAAATTTAGCGAATTACTCACACACAAGGTAACTCTGGGGCAGAGATGGGCAAATGCTACTCTGAGTACTGAGTACTGGTTGTTTTACTCAAACACTGACTTTTATTGAGTGCTGAAGAATTTAATTACAACTTCAGTTGATGTCAATGGATTAACTGAAGTAGTGATTCAATATCCAATAGTGATACAATTTGAATAAAACACCTGGTGCTCTATATTCTGAGTAGCATTTGTCCATCTATGCTAATGGGTGCCCAAAAGGGAGTTGTGGCATCAAAATTTTTGAGGATGGCACATTTCGATGGGGCTATGAATTTTTGGAGTGAAAAGTTTCAAAACAGAGAACTAGGAGGAAAACAGACCACAGGAAGTGTAATCGTCTATGATCTATGATTTGTCTAATCTTACTTTCGCTTGCACTGTTCTTAAGAAGAGGAGAGAAATACAATTTTTGGAGAGGGGGGATGGTTTTTATGCGCTTCCGAATTTGGGGAATCGGCACCCCTGTGGTTAATACAACATTTATTGCAAGGTTTTTTCCCCCCATAGAAAGTCCAGAGGTGCCCATCCGCCTCCCCTCCCAAGATCAATCTACCATCCCCCCTTCTCCCAAGATATTTTATTCCTCACCTTTCTTAAAAACAGAGCAAGCTAAGGTAGAATTAGAAAAATCGTAGATCATATATAAATACACTTGCTGCGGTCAGTTCCATGTGTTACTCTTGTCCATTAGTCTGAAAATTCCTAACCCCGTCGAAATTTACCCCCCTCAAAAATTCAAAAACCCGTCAAAATACGCCCTCCTCAAAACTTTTCATGAAACTCTCTTCTGGGCACCCCTACATTTCACAGCTGAAGTGCCATTTATACAGCAAGATTTTTTTTCTCATCACAAGCCGTGGCCCACGGGACAGTCGAGGTCTCAATGTTGCCCTTGGAACAAAAAGTTTAGAAACCTTCTTGGCCAGAAGGCGACAAATCTGCTCGTAGACAGTGCAATGCGTATAGATTCAGTGGCGAAGCTAAGGGTGATTAGCATCCTGATGCAATCCTTTTTTTTCGCCCCCCTCCCTTCACAAAAAATAATCTACTTTGTCCTTGTTCCCTTGGTACTAATTTAACATGCCTTTTTTAAAAAACATTCCCTTCTAAATATACTAAAAAGAGCATAATTTCTCTCGTCATATATAAGTAAATAACTCTTATTTTATTTTTTTTCATTTTACCTAAATCGTTTTCAGTATTTACGTCAGTGCATGCGCTACACACCTACTGGCACTGCTTCCCATCGGTCGCATTGGCGTTATTTACGTATCATTTTTAAATTACGGATTTAACAGTTCCCAAATTGAAATGACAATCAAAATCAAAAATAGGAAGTTTAAAAGTAGTTTTTAGTTCATTGTATACTTAGATTTAGAGGTTTGCTATTTTAAAATAAAATAAATATCGGCCCCTTGTAAAATTGGTTAATTCAGAAAAGTAATATTTTTGGAATTGGTCTATTTTATATTGTCGATCTCAATTTGGAACTGCGTAAGAGTTTCCACCTTATAAAATTAGAAATAAGAAATCCCAACTTTTCAAGAGCAACAAAACTTAAAAATATTAAATTTTGAATCATAAAATGTCATATCGATCTTTTTTTTTTTTTGTGTGTGTGTAGTAAGTACTCACTCACAAGTCTTATACTATCCAGTTGAAAAAATAACAATTAATTCTTATTCTAAAATGTAGGCAAAAATAAAATAAACCAAATAAAAACGTTTTCTATTAACATGATTTCACATTGAGACCAACGATGTGATAAATTGCCGGTTTTAGTTTAGCTCAGTTGGTAATATTGTTTTTAACGGAATTGTTCCACTTTATATCAGAAATGTTTTTCAAGAAAAAAATTAGGTTTAGAGGCAAGGAACTTAATTATCTTAATCATGTTCATTATGTCTTTTTGTTGAATATCTTTTTTACTATTCTTTAATATATGTTGAAATAATGATTTCTGAACTTGAGTCTATAAAGTTACATATGTATAGAATATGTATAGTGTTACATTAAGATTACTATAAATAAGGATTTATAACTGTAATTTCAGATTAATTAATATATGATAAAGTTCAGAAATCATTATGAACATAAATGTTCATAAATTTATTTTTAAGACTTAATTTTTAGAAAAAGCAATGCTTAGAAATTATTTACTTTTTAATAGACTTAGTGCACTGTAACTATTAAATGAGATAGGTTTTTCATTTCATTAAATTCCCTTTATAATTTTATTTATTCTACTCAATCTATCTACTTTCTTTTTAGCTTTCGTTGTCAAAGGGCAACTCTTATCTATTAAATTATCCATAAAATTTCCAACATATAGTGGATTCCATTTTTATCCTAACAATTTATAGTATGAAGGATAATTTCGAACTAAGTTAATAAACTGACAAATGATATTTGTATCTCCTGTTTGTTGAAACTCAGATTACCTGTTAGTGTATATAGATGTGTCTGTGTTATTTTACTTTACTGATCTTTTAAGTTTATTTTATATGTATTTATTGTTTAAACTTTTTGATTAATATTTATCTTTTAATTTTCATTTGTTTTATTTCGTTTATTTGTATTTTTTTAAAATATGGTGTGTATGTCCTCTTACCTCTCTATAACCAATGTCAATCAGGGACAGAATATTTTATTTTTCAATAATAATAATAATAAAAAAGCTCAGAATTGTTTTAGTATTTGTTTCTATTAATTGGCAAAAATTATACAATAATACTGGATTATACATAAGTATGGGTGATAAATATTCAGGACGCAGTCATTATAAATTTTTTATTGGTGCCAATGTTTCAACCAAACATGTGGGTTATCATCAGGGAGTGTTTTGAGCACTGAAGGTATTCAAGTACTGTTACTGAGTACTTTACTATGGGTACTGTGTACATGAACACCTTCAGTGCTCGAAACGCCCTGATGATGACCCACATGCTTTGATTGAAACGTTGGCACCAATAAAAACTTTATTATGACTGCATCCTGAATATTTATCACCCATGATATTTAGAACAGTCGATACACTTCCTTCAATGGATTATAAGTAGTTCTCTGTGATTATGTTTTATAATTTACTTAATTTTATTAATCCTGACTGTGTATAAACTTTTCACCATTGTAATCCTTGTGCTATAAGATTTGATTGTTTTTCCCTGTTTATTCTTAAACTGTCACAGATCTATCTAAATATTTATTATATTTAATTAAATCATATGTAATAAATATAATTTTTGCTTTGCATGAATTTTCACTTTATTCATTTTTTTAATTATAGGATGCGCATGACGGTGTAGCTAGTGCTGTTCAATGGGGGCCAGTAGATAGAGTTATCGCGACCGGTGGTGAAGATAGAAAAGTGAAATTATGGGATGTTTCGAAAGGTAAAATTATGATACTTATTGTTTTATAATAGTTATTATTAAATCTTTATGACTTTTCCTATTAGTTCAAATTAAAAATTCTCAGTTTATTTAGACAGTTATGATCAATGAGGAAGGTAATCGTTTATTTTTATTTTCAATTACTTAATATATTGTCTTAAATCTGTTTTTACTTTGATTTACTGTCACATACATCAGTGACCTAAGGTAGAAGAAACATGTTGGCTGGTCTAAAATATTATGTTTTTTTCTGATATATTAAGGTTTTTTTTCTTATCTTTATATCCTATGATTCTGAACCAATTTTGTTTTTTAAATACAATTTTGTCTCCAGTCTCCATTTATTATCATTTGTTTATGTCCTCTTTGGGAGCGTTTTAGCTCAGTGGTAGGGCAGCACTAAGCTTCCAGTGCTCGAGGTCCCAGGTTCGAATCCCGGTTCATGGCAGAAAATTATTTATTCTGTTTCATTGGCCTTCATTCTTTTATTATTCATTCCCTGTCTTCTATAAAGTGGGTATCCTTAATTAAATAATTGAATAATAAGAAGGAGAAAAACCTGGCGGTTGAGTGTGATTCTGGCCCGATCCCCTCCCTGCACAACCTTAGGCCTTGAAACAGTACTTTCCCTAAATAGTACTGAACCGTGTTGTCCTCTTATCTGTAATTATTTATAAGGGCAATTTTAATGGAGATCATAAATCATTCCTTTTTTCTTGTTCTTTTTTTCTGAATTCTCTGACAAATAATTGTATTAATTTTGTGGAAAATTTGTATTTTAATTCTGTCTAAATCAAGAAAATAATGTAGTACGAATAATAATTGGAATGAACTTGTTATTTCAGAAAACATCTCAGTTGCGAATTGCCAAAATTTTTAAAACATGGGAGAGGTTTGATCTTGAAAACAAAGAAAACTTTTTTTAATATTTAGTCAACATAGCTGGGCTGAATATGCTCGGATAAGGCTGAATATGCCTTTTGTAATGTCTGTATCTCACCATCCTTAAGATAATCAGTAAAATATAATAAGGCCAGTGTTTTCCAATTTGGAACTTAAATCAAATTGAAAGACCTTTGAAAGAACTTCAGCTCATTTTTTAAAGATCTATTTTGAATTTCTTAGTGCTCTTAAAACATCAAGAATCTCTGTTATGAAAACCTGATTCATTATAAAATAAAAAGATGTGTTATTATTTTGCCGGCAATAAAAACTTCCAGTATATAACAAAATGTGTATTTGCTATAATTACTTTAAGTTAATGTTTGGGGATACAATTCCCATCTTCAGAACTTTATTTCTTTTGGCTTTCATTAGTAGTTAATAGCTAGAAAAAAGGTTTATGGAGCATGAACCTTTTTTCATGATGAAGGATCATTCGTGGTATTTAGATAAATATAACAAATTTGTAACAACATTAACATTGACAGACATTATAACATATATTCATTTTAATAAACCTTTTTTCTAGCTATTAACTAATAATGAAAGCCAGATAGAAATAAAGTTCTGAAGATGGGAATTGTATCCCGAAACATTAACTTAAAGTAATTATAGCAAATACACATTTTGTTATATACTGGCAGTTTTTATTGCCAAAAACATAATAATTGTAAACAGCTTCCTAACCAAATAAAGAGGAAAAGAAGCAATAAAAAGATAATTTTTTTAGAAGAGATTAGATTTTTTTTTTGTCATATTGTTTTACATGGGAATGTCATACAATAAAGAGTTTAAGACAAAGATAACAAAAAGTAGTCTAGGAGATAAATAGAGCACATTTCATGTTATACATTTATTCAGTAATGATTTAAATTAAAATACAACTCTTGTTAGTGAGACTTCTATCAGATGTAACAAAGGGAATGCATAATGATATAAAAGTGTGTTCCCTATTCCTCTGTGTTTTAGTAGTTTACGATTTTCTTTTTAGGGAATCCGGAAAATCGTGGTGTGTTAGGTGCCAGCAATGCCGGTGTAATGTCAGTTCACTTTGACAATACAGGAACATACATTCTTGCTGCTTCCAACGATTATGCTGCACGCGTCTGGACTGTCAATGATCAACGTTTAAGGGTGAGTTATTTTTTTTTTCTATGCTTTCGCTTTTGAGAATGGTCAAATTGGTCTACAAATTTCATGGGCCGTTTTTTTCAAACTTACGTCCTAAACATGTCATTTATATTGACTTACTGATTAATCTGAAAGCCTCAAAGCACTGATAATAAGTGAGATATTTTGAAATTAAATGATATAGTGGCCTACTAAAATATTGGTTCGTTTGGATTAACTTACAACAAGAAAGGCAAAAATTACTTAAAACTAAATCTTTTGGCCACTATGGGTGGAAGTAAGTGTTGAAAAGCTGAAAATGATTTTAATTTGTTTATATAATGTCAAATAATAGTATCTTAAGTTAGTCCTGCTATAAGTTGGGGTGGAGTGGAACTTATAAATTCTCTTTTTTCTGATTTTGAGTTTCTGATCTATGACTTTTAAATGGTACGTCCTAGTAAAATAATTAATCTATTATGAATTAAAGAATATTAAATTAAACTAATATTGGATTCAGTTCAGCATAAGAGTATGCGTAGAGTCAAAATTGATAGACAAACTGCAATTGATCTGCTCCTTTGCTTTAAAAAATCCTGTAAAAGCTTTTTCTTCATTTTTAATTTGACAGCGGTTATTATGTATGAAAATATATTGAATGAAAGTATAGAGCATAGAATCTGCATTTAATGATTACCTATTTTTATTTTTTTTAGTTGGATTTAGGTGAAGTATAGAAATCATAAGTTTTTTGAATTTCCATCACGTTTAGTAAATTTGAAATAGATATGCATACTTTTAAACACCACACACTTGCAATATTTCACTTAAGAAATTATTGCCCACTTTAAGAATGCTTAACATTTGACATTTGACCCATGTGTTTATTATTGTTCACTGAATATTCTAAAGAAGAAAGAATTATGAATAAAAAAATAATTGATTTTAAATATTTATCATCATATACAATGTTAAATATTATTCAAGTGAATTTGTAAAGTTTTTATCCATTTCTTAAGAGAAACAGTATAGTTGTAGTGCTATAAACGCATCAGTAGGTCATTTTAGTCTTGTGAACGTATTGCAGGTCATGACTGCATTGTTATTTCTGAACTTCATTGACATCAAATTTGATATCTCAGACAACCTTCAAGTTGGATTTTGATTTTTAAAATATTAATTAAAAAAGTTAACCTTCATAATCAACCAAACGAAAACAAAATTATAAATAAATGTCCAATATCTCACTCATATTTTTTAAACTATGAGGAAAATAGATGCATAGAAAAAAAAGGTGTCTTGGTGGTGTCAATCGAATAAAAAAAAGATATGATATTTTTTTAAAAATGCTGAAACTTTTTACATAACAGTTTATTATTTTTCTCTAAATATTCCAAATAAGGCTGAATTATGATAAATAAAATATTTTCTTAGTTAAAGTGTTCATAATAACTGAAAATATAAACTATACAAATCTTATCTGTACTTTAATAACCCATATCATTTGTGATTACTAAGGGGTCTTTGATGCTTTTCTTAGCGAATATTAATTTATTTATCCACAGTCTGTTATATCATGAGGTCATTTGGTTAATTGGTATGCTCAACAAGCAGGTTTCTCTAAAGGTTTCGTCTACAACCCTTTTTTTATTGAGGAAAGAATTATACCTTGATGCTTTTTAAAATAGATAAGGTGTAACAAATTGTTTACTGCCTTAGCAGTTTTCATCATTCAACATTCAAAGTGATTAACAATACATGATTCTCAAAACCTTAATTTCAATTTTCTGGACTACACAACTACTTTTTATTTATTAACTTTTTAAAATAATTAATTTTTTTTGCCTATTCATTTTTCTTAGTAGAACTAATTAATAATGAATGAATTCCTTAAAGGTTAAGGAATTAATAGCTAAGTTGACTGGTAAATAGCCAAGAGTTATACCGAAAAGTAGATGAGAGGGGTTATGTTTAGGCTGATATGATGAATTAGGTTTTCGACTATGATCAGTGGATGGGTGTAGACAACCATTAGTGGTGTAGGGATTGAGTTATTGGAATTACAATTTCTTTTATTCTTAGTATTATTAATACTAATCATTAATCATTAAAAGATATTTAAGCATGAAGATAAAAATTCAATTTTCAATTCCTGTTATTTATATTCCTTGAAAAATTAATTTCATGATAATGGTTTTTATTATGTAAAGCTAATTTATTATTATTATATCAATTTATAATTAATTTTTTTTAAGGTTATGAGGGGTTGTGAGCTGGTACAATTATCTTAAAATTTAAAATAAGAATTCATTTTTTTTCAGTGTATATTTGTCATTTTGTAATTAGTTGAGGTAGATGGGCAAAAGAATAGAGCACATCTCTTTCTGCCGAAATAAATGTAATTCAGATCCTACCTTAAGACTATAAATTTTCTATTTACTGAAAAATATTAAGGTTTGTTGGACCATTTTTCTACAGATAGTTACTTTGATAGTCAACTCAATCCTAAAAAGAAAGTTATAAAAATAAATAGGACACTCTGGGAATTGAATCCATTACGTGCACTCCGAGCACACACCAACGTGCATGGCCGTCATAGTGTTACTCCTATATTTCCTTTATTGGAATTCCTTCCCTTCTTGGGCTGTTGTTGAACAAATTATTTTAATTGTTTTTTCTTTTTTTTTTTAGTTTATACAAGTCATTATTTACCCATGTAAAAGAAGTTATATTTTTAACTCATAAGATCATTTTTTTGTTTGAAGAAATTGCTCTTTGACTGACTTTTACAACTGTGAATAATTATCAATTACAGTAATTACATTTTCAGGAATGCCCGTTTCGTGATTGTACAAAACATTAAGAAGACTTATAGAATTATGATTAGTTTTAAGTGCTAAATGATGCGTAAATATTTTTAATGTAACTTTTAGAACTTTTTTAATAATACCTTTTAACTTTTTAAATGACGCTCTTATTTATAACAACCTTATTTATTATAAAAACATCACACTATTAACATTTCTCAATTTTAATGATTCAATTTTCTATTTTTCTTCTTCTATTAGTTTCTGTCATTCTACTTATTGAATATCTATCGTATTACTTTTATAATTTATTAATTCTGCAATGTTTTGCTATTATGTTACTTCTTAGCTTTATTATTTCGTAAATTAAAAGTAAGATATTTGTATATGTGGGAAGAGATACTGACAACAGTGGAAGAAATGATAGATGTTTGGAAAGTATTATTAAAATGAAATTAATGAAAGTTGTGTTGTAATTAGTTCTGTAAATATATTGTATTTAATATTATAAGTTGTTGCTTTACAATTAAAAGTTTAATTTTAGTTTTATACCCACTCCTTTGTTCCTGCTTCTTGAGTCTATAACATTATGAAAAAATTCTCATTATTACAATTTGTTTGTCAGTAATCCGTATTAAAAAAAAAATTGTCAACTTAATATGTTTTTGTTCTTTTTTAGATTTCTTTGTGATTTGTGATTGAATCAAAACAAACTATTTTTATTATTCTGAAAAAAAAAAAAAGGAAAGAGTAGTTAATAGAACATTTGAAATGTTTCTTCATTGTTTCACATTTTTAAATATATATTATTTTATTCAACATTAAAATTAAGGAAAAACTCAATTTGATAGTACACTTAAACTGCTACTGCTAATTTTGTTTAACAGTTAAAATAACTGTGTAATCTAATTAAAAGTTAATATACCTTATTTTATACCTTTTTATTTTATTATTATTGAAAGATGGGTGCTTTCTCGAAATAACCATTGTATTTTCTTGATTGATCTTTAAACATTAAATGATTCAACATTCAAGGGTAGTAATTAATTTATTTTACACTTTTTAGTTTTAACTTTATAATATTTAGTACAAACTTAAATAGGAAGATACATGGTTATTTTTATAGCTGTTGGTTTTCTAATTAAGTAGCATTTAATAACTGTTTGTGGAAAACAATGGTTCAAAAAAAGTAATAGGTTGCTGATTCAAAAATGTAGGATAACAGTGACTAATGTTTTCTGAACAAACTATGGAATGTGTCTGTAAGGTCTTTAAAGAAACATATGTAAGGAGTATATGTCATGTATGGAATATATGAATTATACAATTAATATAATTTGGAAATTGATTGTTTCGTGGGATTCTCATAATGGTTGCCCATGTACATACCACGTTGCAATGATATATTGTAAAGATATTTTTTTATCTCATGCCGTGATCACCTTAAGCTGTTTCGGTCATGTGATGTATAGGCATCCTAGAATACTCACTTTTAGACTTAGCCTTGGTTCCTTCACGCCTTTCGTTCAGGACGAGTCAATAGATGCAACTTTATTATTGATCGCTTTCAATACAGAGAGCATGTTCAATATAGAGAGCATGTTGTTGATTTGGCAACTGCAACGTGGTGGAGTTGGTTCTGAAGATAATCAGGCTTTATTTCTTGGGAGATCTACTGGCACACATTCCTTTTTGTCAAGTAATGGTGCCCATTGCATCTCCATGATTAACGGTTTGTTAAACGTTTTTTTGCCATCAAGAAAGGTATTGGTTTATCAAGCTGTTTTTATAGTTTTGGCATTTTATTTCCCTATTTGATCAGTTTTTTAATGAAAAAACAATGGTCTGATAACCTACAGTGTGTTAGTTCCCTCTGTAAAACACCTGTCTTCTGAAATGAACTCATTTATCAATCAGTTCTTGGCACTAATTAACTTGATTTGTGAAAGATTAGATGGCATCAGAAATGGGAATTATATCAGCCTGAGGATCAATTAGGGTAATGTATTTTGGACCATTTTTATCAATTCCAAGGTGAGAAAAATTGATTTTAGTGTCAAAGGTATGTTCATTTAGGCACTGACAGTTGGAAAGCTTCTGCATAAACAATAGCCATTATTTTCTTGGACTATTCGCAGATCTCTGCATACATGATCTGTGCACACTTGTAAACATGGGAGAATGGGGTATCTCTCTTTTATTGTATCAAGCCCGAAATTTGTTAGGTATGAGTTGACTTCAGCTGATTTTGTAGAAACCCTTGGAGGTAAGTTGGAAGTTACTTGCTGATTATGAGCGCAATATATTCTGATTTTGGTAGGTCCTAAGCATGTTTGTACTGGCTGCATAGTTGCAGTTATAGTTTATTTTGGGTTATTTGTAATATCTTTGATGACCTTTGTAATCACTTATATATCTTTACTCCATGCAGAACCTCTGCATTGTTTTAAATCCAGATAATGTCCTATTGTGTGCGTTGAAAGGACACCAAACATTATAACTTGAGACCAGATTTTCGTGTTATTGCACTTTTTTTTTTGCTGTATATCATTTCGCGACCTGTAGAGTAACTTATTGAAATTTCACAATGAACTGAATTTGCATGTCGTGGCTTTTCGGACTAAATTGGAAGTTTTTGTTGCATGATGTTTGATATTTTGCACTTCAAGGACTACATTTCAATTTTAATTTCATAAAATTAAATTCCTAAATCAAATTTCCTGTATAACAGATACGTAGGTATGTATGTAAATGTTTATTTAATTTTATTACTTGTTTTATTTGATTTGTAGTTGTGAACAGGAGGATCCAATCCATGGATGGCTTTTCACAATGTGAACTTAGAAGGAGTAGACAAGGCATAGATTTTAAATTGGACATAAGTTTTAATTTTTTGTTCCTAACTTTTCAATTCAAAATGACATTTTCAAGTTATCTTTCTGGGATTAAAATGTCTGACGCTAACGTGGTCAGAAGCAGTGCTGAATAGTATCCAGTCTGGGGATCAGCTTTTCTATGATGTTGGTTCCTGCTGAATTAAATCTTGTTATGTTCCTTATGTAGCTATTTTCGGTTAGTAACTTGTAGGATTAACTGCCACTGTTTTGATATAATCAAATATGAAAATATCTGAAACTAATGATTTTAATTAGGGTGTAGTGGGGCAAGTGCAGGCAGCCACAGAGACTGGGTTAAGTGCAACATTTCCGGTTGAACTTGCTCTATAGTAAATCTCTTGAAAAAGCTAAATATAATCAATAAATCACACAAAAATCCGATCTTTATCCCATTTTTCCGATCACCCCTGCGTTGACTCACAAAAAAGTTAGAATCTCTCAGACGGTTTAAGATAAAAATC